CCCCAAGCGGAATCGCGGGGGAGGAATGGGCGGTGTTCCCCCCATCTGCAGATTCCCAAGGGAGGGGGGGGTTATTTACAATATTTTATTTATTAACATTGATTATAGTCTACCCTTCAGTGGGACTCTGTACAGTCAATACATTCAGTAAACTATGCAATACAATTTGGGTTGGAGAACAGACCAGAAATCTGAAAAACAGTATTGAGGGAAAGCATAAATGTTAACATGACCCACAAAGTGCTGCAAAACGATTTAGCGGGATCCAGCTTACAGCAAACTAAACAGGGTAATCAAGTCCCCATGCCCTAATGATGTATCTAAGAAACCTTGTGAAGCCTTCTGTCCAGTGCTACCTCATTGCTTGCTTAGAAAAGCCCTCTTGGATAATTCAGTTCTATTTAGTCTGTGGAAAGGCAGGCAAGTGGGTGCCTTCCCAACCCCCTCAGGCAGACCATTGGTGGGGGCCAGAACGGAGAAGGCCCCTGCCCAGAACAGCCAGTGGAGGGACTGCAGAAGGGCTGTGATTCATCAAGCCCCTGATAATGGCACAGCCTTGGCGTTTCTGCACCAGCTGGAGTGTCTGATTTGGTTTCATGCAGTGTACATGGCATTGGATCCTGGTGGCATGGATCCTGGTGGCCGGATCAGCTGCATCAAGGAAAGGGGTCATTTTTTGAGCTAGGCTGAGTTGGGAGAAAACTTTTTTTTTTTTTTTCAACTGCACTAACTTGCTTCTCTAGCAATAGGGTTGGGTCCAGCATAATTCCCAGTCACTTCACTGAGTCGGCGAGGATTAGCTGAACCCAATCGAAAGTGACAAACACAGTGTCTTTCAAGACTTCTGCTTTCCCAACCAGTACGACTTCTGTCTTTGCAGGGCTCAGTTCCACTTTGTTCACTCTCAGCCATTTGACCACAGCAGCCATGAAGTGGTTGTTGACCTTTGCCCCATCCCTGCCTCCTCCTGCTCTTGTTTGCCACAGCAGCCCCTGTGTGCCCTGACCTGGAGAGGCCCCTCTGCCCCTTCCCCTCGGCTGGCTGCTTCCTGGGCAGACGTCTTGCCCAGCCCTTCTGGCCTACTGAGGAGCTCTCTGTAGTGGTTAAGCCCTTACTAATCACTTTTTCCTGAGCCCCAGTTTACCTTGAGATGCACCCACTAGGCAGACTGGTCTCCAGGTACCAGAGGCCCAGCTCATAACATCCATAGCAGATTTTAAAGAGCCCAATAGAGATGTTTTTCCTTCCTGAAGGACCAAAGAAGTGTAACCTAAAAAGCTTGGTACTTAATATAAACCAATGATGTTAATCCTGATCCACAAACTCCAACACGGACACACCTTCTGATCCACTTACGTTGTCTCTTGTCCAGGGTCAGTGATATCACTCCTTTCTCTTTTGGTTTCTTTCTGCCTTTTTGATATCTTTCCCTCTTCATAGGCAAGTGACTAACAGTGTCCTTCCACAGTTCGAGGCAACCTAAGAGAAAGGAGGAGGAGATGGAAGAGGAGGACCCAGAAGCACCTGGAACTGGCAAGACATCAAGGAAAGGTCCCCATCCCATCCCAGCAGAGAGTGGTGTTGAATTTTGGGAAAGAGCTCTGCCAGAGATCTTGGCTCAGGACACTCTGAGCACAGATATACGCAGCAGACACTTCCGGCAGTTCTGTTACCAGGAGGCTGATGGGCCCCGAGAGGTTTGCAGCCGGCTCCATGGACTTTGCAACCGTTGGCTGAAGCCAGAGAGGAACACCATGAAGCAGATCCTGGACCTGGTGATCCTGGAGCAGTTCCTGGCCGTCCTGCCCCAGGACATGCAGGGCTGGGTCAGAGGGTGCGGGCCAGAGACCAGTTCGCAGGCGGTGGCCCTGGCCGAAGCTTTCCTCCTGAGTCAGGAAGAGGAGAAGAGGCAGGCAGAGCAGGTGAGGGGTTTTCATTCACTCAGTTCAAGCAGTGACCTTATCCTAATGTTTCCTCTCAGATATTTCTCTGTGGGTGCATGTCAACTGCCATCAGTTTGCTTCCTATCCACAAGAATAACACACAATCCCAAGACAGTCCATTTGACTCTGGGTCCACTTGACTCTGGGTCCATTTGACTTTGGCAGCAGCATCAGCATGCTTGGAAATAAGTGAGGAGACCTTGCCCAAGTAGATTAACAGAAGAGTAAACGAATGAAAGAGTCAACTTGAATGTAACATTGAATGTACGATTCCTATATAGGATTTGTTCCTGAGGAAAGACCAGAGGTCTGAAACGCTTAAATATCCGGAAAAACTGTTGAAAGAGAGATAGAATTTGGAGCAGACTGCTTTTGAGAATACAAGACTGTTAGAGGGGTATAGACTGAGCAAGTCTGGAGCAGAGTGCTATGTGTAATTAATCTAGTCTCTATTGTTAGTCTGTTCATTCTGTGGGCATCTAGCACACATCTGAATATATTTTTTTCATACCAGACTATGAGTTTGCTTTCGATTTGTGGCGACCCTATGAATTAATGTCCTGCAAAACGTCCTATCGTTAACAGCCTTTCTCAGGTCTTACAAACTGAAGGCCGTGGCTTCATTGATTGTGTCAATCCATCCCATGTTTGGTCTTCCTCTTTTCCTTCTGCCTTCAAGTTTTTCTAGCATTATTGTCTTTGCCAGTGACTCTTGTCTTCTCGTAATGACACCAAAGTACGATAGTCTAATTTTAGTCATTTTAGCTTCTAGGGAGAGTTGAGGTTTGATTTGCTCTAGAACCCACTGATTTGTCTTTTGGGTGGTCCGCAGTATCCATAAACATTCTTCTCCAGTACCACAACTAGGATCCAGTTTGGCTTAATGGTTAAGGGTGGCGGACTCTAATCTGGAGAATCGTGTTTGATTCCCCACGCCTCAACTTCCAGCCACTGGGTGACCTTGGTCAGTGGCTGTTCTCTGAAGAGCAGTTTTCTCAGAGCTCTCTCAGCCCCATCTACCTCACGGGGGTGTCTGTTGTGGGGAGAGGAAGGAAAGGAGATGGTAAGCTGCTCTCGGTCTCCGAATGAAGGGCAGGATATCAATCCAATTCTTCTCCTCCTCCTCCTTCTACCAGATAATCTTTTTTAAGCTCCTTCTGGGCTGCCCTTCCCAGCCTCAGTCTCCTAGGTTCTTGCTTGCTGTCTCCCTTGTAATTGACGATGGAGCCGCCAAGGAACAGAAAATCTTGAGCAATTTCAAGTTCTTCATCATTAACTCTAAATTCTGGAATTCCAGACTAGTGAATCCTTTTGTCTTCTTGATGTTCATCCGTAATCCCACTTTGGCGCTTCCTGCTTTACCCTACATTGGTGGTTGTTTCAAGACTTCCCTATTCTCTGCCAGTATTGTGGTGTCAACTTCATATCTCAAATAGTTACTGTTTTTTCTACCAGTTTTCACTCCTCCTTCAACTAAATCGAATCCAACTTTCCTTATGATATGTTTTGCATATAGATCGAAGGGAAAGGGAGATAAAATACATCGTGGTCTGACATTTTTCCAGTTTGGAAGCCATTCTGTTTCTCTGTCTTCTGTCCTAACACTGGTCTCTTGTTCAGAGTACAGGTTGCACATCAATGCAAACAGTTGTTGTGGCAGACTCATTTCTTTCAAAACCAGCCATAGCTTCTCATGATCCATGCAGTCCAAAGCTTTGCTGTAATCTATGGAACACAACATGGTTTTCTTCTAAAATTCTCTTCTATGCTCCAATAACTGACCTGAATTTGCGATATGATATCAAGTACTGTAACGATTCCTTGTTTCTGTGTGTGTGTGTCTCTTTAAAAGTTTGGTTGCATGGCTGTGGTAGATAGACTAGAGTTGTTGAGAGAGGCAAGTGTGGTATGATTGGTGGTTGACAGAGAGGGGGAGGGGTTTTGGAAGCGAATCTGGGTGGAGGTTTTGTGCGTCAGTCAGGAGTTGCAGTTACAAGTTGACAGTTTAGTTAGACAAGTAGTTCTGTGTTGAAGCAGTTATAAGCAGACAGCTGAGGTAGTTCAGTGAGAAAGAGAAGGAAAGCTGAGTGTATAGGAAAAAGTAAATGAAAGTTTAATTGAAGACAAGTTATAGGAAAGTCTGTATGTCCTGATAAACTGGAGAGAAACAGTGAACATATATGACCTTGAGTTAAACAAGTGTTACAAAGTTACCTGAAAGATCCCTGTCAGTGAGGGATAAGATTGTGTGATATCAAAGCAATTGTTCATCATTTATACATTACTAGTTACATTGTACAACCCTCTTATTTAGTAGTTATTTCAATAAATCCTCTTTCATCCAAGTTTATACCAGCTCTGAATGAAATACTTCCCAGGACCACTTAGATCCCTGTAAGCCTTGAACTCGGTCTACCAAATTAAAAAGAGCAACAGTAAAAGCATAAAGGTTTGGAAATCCTTAAAATTTCCTGGTGGCAGCCGTATATACCCAGTAAAACAAAATAAAGAACACTTTTAAAGTGAAACCAGTCCTCCCTAATAAGGAGGACGTCACAAGTACCTTCTCCTTTTCTGAATCCAGCTTCAGCACCTGGCATTTCTCATTCCATCTATGGTAATAGGCTTCATTGTAAGATTTTGATTATCACTTTACTCCCATGAGAAATTAATGTGACAGTACAGTAGTTGCTGCAGACTTTGATGTCTCCTTTTGTTGGAACAGCGATGTAAAGAGAAAGTTTCCAGACTGTGAGCCATCGTTTTGTTTTCCTTATTAGCATATTCTTGTTAAGGCTTTGAATGGAATAATTCTGTTGCTATCCCATCTAACCATGGTGATCTGTTTCTCCCAATTGCTCTCAGTGCAGTTTTCCCTTTACTTTCTAAAACCATTGGATCTTCTTCAAAAGATTCTTCTGGAAAAGGAATCTGTCATCCTTTCATCTCCTTACTATAACTTCTCAGTGTATTGTCCCCATCTTTTCTTATATATTTCTACCTCTAGATATTTCACTAGATATTTCCATTCCTCCTCTTACCTGGCTCTTGTTTCAGATGTGGGGACGATCTGTGAAGATGGAAACGAAGATCACTGAGGCAGAAGGAGCTTCGTCAGAGGAAAATCAGAGGACGCAGGCCCAGGAGGATGCCCGAGATGCCCTGTCAAGTGGTAAGGGTGCCTCCTGCCCAGATAGGATCAGGGGACCTAGCCAAGTTGTTGGGCAGAAGGTTCAGGACAGAAGTGGAATGCTTTTGCAGACTACATAGAATGGAGTTCTCAAACAGAGTGCCATAGGATGTAGTGATGGGCACTCCACTTTAAAAGGCAGTATGTTTCATGGAGGACAATTCCATCATTATTTACATTAGGTTGGAGGGTGGAGCTTGGGTTGTTTGTGATGTCATGTAGATGTCTCATCTCACCGAATACCTGGATGTGAAGTCCGAGTATCAGCAGGCATCCTGGAAACCCATTGGTGGTACCCTAAAGTTTCCAGAGCCTTGGCTGATGCACTAAAAAAAGAATCTGAGTTTTGAGCTGGAGGTGATAGTGATGTGTCATGCAACAGGATTTCCGGTCCTATCTTTTTCTCCTGCCAGTCTGGACTCCAGGACAGGTGGGAGGCTCCAGCAGGTTGGAGAAGGGCAGGCCTGGGTTTTTGGCCTCTTCCAGCAGGGGTGCTGCAGCTTTTGGAGCTCCAGGGTGCACAGGGCACATTTCAAGTCTCACAGAAGGGTTGGCAGCATTTATAACATGCCGAGGCTCATGGATTCCTGATGCTTCCACCTCTCGAAAAGTCATTACAAATATTCTTGAGTGTAAAGAAGACAAGGTGGCACAACCCAGGGAACAGTGATGGGTGCAGTAAAATTCAAAGAAGGAAAGAAAATAGGAACATTTCTCCTTCCAATTTTGTCTCCCTTGCAGGTAGTGAAGAGATGTTGTCAACCTGTCATCTTTTCAGAGGAGTGGAAACAGCTGCTCCAACTCTGGTCCAGGTAGGGGGGGGGGAGACAGGGGGATAGTCAGGTTCCCACTTCTTTCTCAAGGAGGCTTTGGGTCCTGCTGACCGAGGAGAGACAGGCTCTGAATCCCACTCTCTTCACGCATGCCAAGCTCTATGTCCTGCACCCTCCCAGAATGCCCCTGTGGAGAGTGTAGTCTCTGCCTGGACTGATATCTGGGGAGGAAATCTGCTGTTCCTTTCAGGCTCCCTTTTCCTTTGAGGAGGTGGCCGTGAATTTCACCGAGGCTGAGTGGACCTTGCTGGCTCCTGGCCAAAGAGCTCTCTACAGGGACGTCATGCTGGAGAACTACGGGAGTGTGGCCTCTCTGGGTAAGGACCTTTCATAGGTGCCAAAGGTGCAAATTGCTGCCATTGGGACGATGCATGAATCAAACTATTGAACAGCAATGTGTGGCTGTGAGGACTGCTTCGCTGTCTCCCCCCCCCCAAATGGGGGCCTCAAGGAGTTGGGGTGGCAGTGAAAACGATGGTTCAGCACGGCCAGTGTTGTGGCCCTCACCCAAGCCATTCCTACAGTGGTCCCCTGGATGCCTTCAGGCCTTGCTATTAGACAATAGAGAGGTCCAGCTAAAGTGCAGAGAAGTGCAGAAAATGGCTCTGAGCTTGAGAAAGGTTCCCCTACACTGCAAGGTTGGTCTCCTCATCTGTCATTACCTACCCCTCTCCAAACAAACAGCACCAATCGTCAGGTGCAGAGAATCAAAAGTCAAAAAGCATGGAAAGTCAAATGGGAAGGGGGGGGATATTTTGCCACTTTCCCCCTTAAAATACATATGGGGAATTTGGAGAGGGGAGGGACAGACAGAATATAAAAACAGCCATACAGAAGGGCCTAAGAGACATAAGGTGTGATCAGTATCTCAGTTTGGGAGGAAAGATGATTGGATAACAGAAATGCACACCCATTCCTGAGCACTGCCTGACCGGTGCCTTGGCTTCTTGCCTGGGTGCTAATTGAAACTGTTTCTTTCTTCCATGAGCAGATGTAAAGGAGGCAGCTGGGGAATTCCAGGGGTTCTCTTTGGAAAAAGTCAAGAATGAAGATGCTGACGGACACTTCGGAGATGGAGATGGACCACAGGGGCAGGAGGGAAGCCAAGCTGGTAAGAGGAGGGATACATCCATTCCTTACTGAGGAGGGGCTTTCTGTGAAATCCCAGTCCAAGAAGAAGGGTCAATCAAAAAGAGAACAGACAAAGGCCTCCACACGAATCAGAAAATCTACTCAGGGAAACTGAAAGTGTGGCCTTGGCAAAGACCTTCAGTCAGAGACTGAACACAGACACAGATTTCCTTAGGAGAGAAACTATGTAATTGCTTACAGTGCGGCAAGAGGTTCAGTCAAAAAAGAGCCCTTACTACAAATCAAAAAAGTTACAAAGTTGGGGAACCATATAAACGGTCAGAGTCTAAACCAAGAATCTCTCATGCAGGAGGCTTCATGTACTTTTAAAGTATATGTTATTGTAGACTTCAGCATACAGCGGGAAGAATCCACTGTAACATTTGGATTGCGGATGGAACTTAAGGTGCTGATCAGACCTCCTTGCGTGGGTTCTAACAGGATCTCCTTCTTTATTCCAGCAGGGGATGATGAGAGGAATGAGGAGGATGAGGAACTTCATCCTCTATTTCCAGATGAAGTCGAGAATGAAGACTTGAGAGGAAACTTGAGAAACCAAGTTGGACCTAAGAGGCAGAAAAGAAGTCACATCATCCAGAAGAGGGGTAAACCTATTCCTTGCCAAGGGGGGAAGAGATTCAGTTGTAGTAGCCATCTTCAAACCCATCTAAGAACCCACACAGCAGAGAAGCCTTTTGAATGCTCAGAGTATGGGAAGAGATTCAGTTGCAGTGCCAGTCTTCAAAGACATCTAAGAACCCACACAGGGGAGAAGCCTTTTGAATGTTCGGAGTGTGGGAAGAGATTCAGTTGCAGTGCCAGTCTTCAAAGACATCTAAGAACCCACACAGCGGAGAAGCCTTTTGAATGTTCGGAGTGTGGGAAGAGATTCAGTTGCAGTGCCAATCTTCAAACTCATCTAAGAACCCACACAGGGGAGAAGCCTTTTGAATGCTCAGAGTGTGGGAAGAGATTCAGTGACAGTTGGACTCTTCAAACCCATCTAAGAACCCACACAGGGGAGAAGCCTTTTGAATGCTCAGAGTGTGGGAAGAGATTCAGTGAGAGTAGCACTCTTCAAACCCATCTAAGAACCCACACAGGGGAGAAGCCTTTTGAATGTTCAGAGTGTGGGAAGAGATTCAGTCAGACTAGCCATCTTCAAACCCATCTAGGAACCCACACAGGATAGAAGCCTTTTGAGTGGTCAGAGTGTGGGAAGAGATTTAGCCACAGTGGCTTACTTCAAGAGCATCAAAGAACCCACACAATGTAACTCCTTAGCTCAGAGGTGTCAGGTTCATTTGTTACGAGGGTCGGATCTGACATAAATGTCACTTCATTGGTCCGGGCCACATCTGCCATAAAATGTAATGCCAGGTACCAGAGATATAAACTTCAGAAAGGACTCCAGAAATCCAATGAATGGTTGTATTTTTTACTCGAAATATAATTGTCCTTAAAACATTACATGTATTTTGTTTATTTAATGGTCTTGGATAAGTGACACCTCTTCTTCTAAATCATTGCATCAAAATCTGGAGCCAATGTCTGTGCTTTAGCAATCTTGAGTTTGCTGTTTTGGTGTGTATCCGTAAGCTGATGTATTGAGATTCGTTTACAGAAAAGAACTGTTCACAGACATAGGTTGTCCCAAACTTAGACAGAATTTTAGAAGCAAAATCCTTAAGGTGGGGGTAATTCACTCCCGCAAATTGGTAAAATTTCATAAAGATTATCCTTCAACACAGCATCACACTGCTCCTGCAGCTACCTGGGATTTCTGACATCCACTCAATGGTAGCTGGGGAGAAGAAAGGGACTGTTCAGCATAGAGGATGATGAAGGGAATCCTGAGGGTGGGTGAAATTGTCATAGCATGTCAAAGACTTTCTCCCATGGGGCACCTGTTTTAAGAAGAAACATAAGATTCCCTTCAAACCGATGAGTAGGGAGTTTAGCTGTACCGCATCTAACTCCACAACAGCAACTCAAAATGGAATGTGATGTTTTATTAGGTTGAGAGAATGCAGTGGGCCCAAGGTCACAAGCAGGTTTTCCGGCAGAATGGCATTTGAACTTGGGTCTCCCAGATCCGAGCCGAATGCTCTAACTGGTACACCGCACTGGCTGTCATTCTTGTGTGACAAATGGTGTCACATAAGAAGGACTCCAGAGACAGTCTATACCCAGTAGAGAAAACATTCAGGTCTGTCATCGATAGTGAAAAACAGAGGCTCCAAACAATGACTGATTGTTCTGCAGGCTACCATCAAAACGAGAGGAGAGGCAAACAGCTCAGGCTGGCCTCTGAAAAACATGCTTTTGTTGAGTTCTTCATGGAGATGGCAATAGCAAGCTTGGCCTCTGCCTGAAACAGCCCCTGTTCTGAATAATAATAATGCTTTCGATTTATTAATCGCTTTCCCCACAAGTGGGCTCAAAGTGATTTACAGTTACTCTTTAGACAGGGGATTAACAATGTTTTTCATAGGGGATAGGGAAGACAACAAACAATTCATTTAAGTTGCACACGCCATACTGCCCGGTGGAAACGTTTCTGGTTTGACTCAGTCATGTTCCGAACAGCTGCATCGCCACACTGCCACCGCCTGGCCGGAGCATCCCACTGCAGGGATTTTTCTTACAAGGTATCAGTGCTGGGGGACTGCAGCAAGGTAGCTGGATCACTGGGTCAGCCTTGAGAACTAGGCATTAGCAAGAGGGCTTGGAGCCGAGAGCAACAGAGAATCGGGTCTGACCCGAAGAAGAGGAAGAGTTGGATTTATACCCCGCCCTTCACTCGGAGTCTCAGAGTGGCTTACAGTCTCCTCCCTTTCCTGTCCCCACAACACCAAACGGTATGGGAGGCGGGGCTGAGAGAGCTCTTGAGAAAACTGCTCTTGAGAGAACAGCCCTTCACGGGCTTGGACTCTCATCTTTGTGAGACCGCCACCACTATGCACCACCACCACTGCTTTGCTCCTCTGTGGGAGGCCGTCTGCAGAAGCCAACCTGCAAATGGGCAAAACAACTGCCCATACCTGTGCCTTCTCTGTTGTGGCCCCCACCTTAAGGCTCCCGCTCTCCAGGCTGTCTGCAAACCATGCAAAACAAGGATTCCAAAGAGCTTTTGTATGCTTGCAACGGAGTTCTCTGTACTGAATGAGTCGCAAAATTACTTGCATAAATGATTAGGGACTGTGGTCTGTGCGGCTGTGTTTAGCTTACTGAAACTAGGATCTTACTGTGTAATTTTTGTGTCATTTAATGTGTCATGTAGAAACTTATGCTTTTGCTTTACTGCTGTTTTTAGATATCTGATTGTTTCGAGAACCTTTGTTTTGTTTACTGAATGCTCCATCTTGTTGATTGTATTGACTCACTCTCTGTAATCTGCCTTGAGTCTAAGTGAGAGAGGCGAACTATAAATAAATAAATAGTATCTGGCTGAGTCTCCTCATCTCCCCAAGCCCCACCCTCTCCAAGGCTCAACCTCTAAATCTCCAGGAAGTTGTCAACCTGTAACTGGCAACTCTAGAAATGCCTGGCCCCGATGAGTCCTTCCTCAAAAGCCAAAACGCCTATGAAAAGGACCCTGTCCTCTCCCCTGCCTTTTGCTCACAGAAACCCAGTATAGAATGCTGTGGTTGCTTAACGACAGCCACTGAGGCAATCCATTTCTTAAAGCTACAGGTGCTCTTCTTATCATACAGTGTTTTTTTAAAACAACAACAACAATATTTCACCAAATATATTTCATATTTTTCTGCAACCCTGAGGAAATTTTCTATTTGTCGAAAGATCTGTCTTCCCCTTTACAACTCCAGTCACTACATTTAGGCATGCTCAGATTTTGCCAACTTTGCTGTTGGAATATGTGATTTATTTTATTAAAACATTTATGTCCCATTTTCCTTGCAGTTCAAATCACTTTACAGTAATACATTTTCAGCTAAAACCAAAAATAGCATAGCAAACCTCACATATCCCCCCCCCTTTTAAGTACTTTCTGTTTCTGCCTAAGCATTTCCATTTCTAAAGATTTCTTCTTTCGTAAAATTATTACTGAATGGGTGCCATTGCCAATTCAATATTAAGTCAATGTGGCAGTTTCCAAAGTCTGATTAATGTTGTTTAGGTAAAATGTTGACTCTCATTTTGGCGTTGCCAAGATATTCGTGCCTTAGTTACCAAGTGTTCACTGTTGTTTTTTGGACAACTTATTATTTTCTAAGAACTGGGGAATGTTCCCTAACTTTTTTTATTCCCTTTTTTTTTCCTGCCTAGCTTTGTATTGGATGACAGAGCACCTGAGAGTGCACAGAGTGCCTTCTTACACCAATGAGCACGCAGAGGGAGGCTTTATAACCCTTGAACTAGCAGTTAAAACACACCTTTGATCTCTTCCTTAGTTTGAAAAAAACAATCATTATAATAGTTCTTTTATTTCCTTCTGTGCACAGCAGGTAGTAAAGGGTTAAGAAGCAGGCAGTGTTGAGGTTCCTAGAGAGGAGAAAACGTCCTCCTTTGGAGCGCTCTTGCTTTCCTTCCAGCAGAGCAGGAGGGCTGGGTCTTGAGAAGCCAGCCTGGGTGATGTGTAAAGACCCGTGGGGCAGGGAGGAAAAGCGGCCCCAGGCCCCGTGGGGCAGCCCCACAAGAGGGTCTCCACAGGTCCCTTGGGCAAGCCCTAGCTCTGATAAGAGCTGTTCTTGAAAAAGAGCAGTTTCTGTCAAGAGCTCTCTCAGCCCCACCTACCTCACAGGGTGTCAGTTGTGGGGAGGGGAAGGAAAAGGAGTTTGTCAGCCGCTCTGAGACACCTTTCGATAGTGAAGGGCAGGGTATAAATCCAATCTCTTCTATTCTTCTTGGTCTCCCCAGGCAGCCCATTTCATAAGTTGGGGGCCACAACGGAGAAGACACAGGTACAGTCAGTTGTGGATTTGTGCCCATTTGCAGGGTGCCACCTAGAGGAGTCCCTGCTCAGATGAGAGAAGCTGTCATGTCGGAGCACAGAGGGAGAGGCTGTCCCACAGACCTGAGAGAGAACAAGGCCATGAGGGGCTTTGTATGGGGTTGCCAGACCTGGTTCTGCAGGGGTTTCCCAATTTGGGGGGGGCTCCTACCCACCTCCAGCACGCTGGCTGGCGGGGGAGAAGCCCTGCCCTCCAAGAGCATGTTGGCGTGTGGAAGCGTCCAGTAACGACAAGTACTAGGTTGCTGGTGCAATGTCACTTGGGGCTTGGCCACATGCTGAGGCTGCCTCGTTGCTCCTTCCTTGAGTGCGTTGGTGGCCTGTTCTCTCTTCCGAGGGCAAAATCTTTGTACATGCTCTTTTGACCCGCACAGGAAACATCGCCTCACTTTCAGGGCTTTAAACGACTGGCATGGCATGTGCTCTTCCCCTCTCTGCTGGGCTGAAGCTGGACACCTGGAATCTTTGGCTCGGCTACCAGAGCTTTTGGCGTCGTTCCCGGAACTATGGGCTCGACTCCCAGGATGGCCGACTGCCAACTCCTGCCGAGCTAGCTGAGAATCTTGATGTTGCAAAATCCTCCCAGAAACGTAGTCGAACGTCAAATCAGCTAATTTTATATTCTCAATTGCAGAAACAAGAGGGGTATATTCCTCAGACATTGAACAGAGGAGTATTAATACTTTGTCCTCCTCTGAGAGGGTCTTGCCCCTCTCGGCCAACTTGTTAAAGCAGTCTGTGAGAGTGGTTAGGTGCTCTCTCACGTCCTGCCCGTTCCTTAAAACAGTTCTATACACCTTGCGCATCAGAGCCACGATAGAACCTGATGTCTTCTGCAAGAATATAGCAGCCAAAGCATCCCACGCTTGCTTGGCAGTTGTTTTTGAAGATATGCAAGCTAATTGTGCGTCGGAAACGCTAAGCACAATTAGTGCCAAGGCTTTTTCTATCTGGGTTTCTTCCTCGGCCGTGGGGGCTGCTGAAGGGGCCGACACAAAAGTCCAAAGCCCTTCCTTAATTAAATAATGTTTCATACGTTGTGACCACACAGAATAGTTTGTGTAGGTTAATTTATCCACAAACACGGCCGCCGAAGCCAAAGCCATGATGGGTACACCGGACTCACTCGTGCCTTATCAGCTCCTGGACAACTGCCTCGAACTCCTCCGCCTCCTCCGAGCCAGACCGGGCTGAGCTGCTGTCCTCAGCTGTGTCCTGGAAGACGTCCTCTCCCTTCTGTGCAGACGTGCACTCTGGAGCTCCCCGCTTTCACTCGGGCAAAGCCTCCACAGCTT